CCAGCACTGCAGATGTCCACTCAGTCTGGCCTCTAGCACTACTGAGCGTGTCCACTGTTATGGCTTGGCTTGGCCTCATGCCTGCCTATACAGAGTCTGCCCTTTGGCATGGTCTGCTAAGCAGATTTACCGAGTGCCTTCTGATCTTGGTTTAAGCAACTAACCGTGGCACATCTCAAATGCCTTGGCTTTCTTACCGTGTCCATAGTTTGACCTGGGTATGGGCATTTTACCAAGTTTTGCTCTTTGAATACATGTATTTTTGAATAAATGCATTTTTGAGGATATAGTATTCAGATACAGATGGTCATTAATAAGATATTTGTTTATTGCATGCAGCTAGAATAAGAGGTGCTGTACCTAATTGAGTTGATTTTTCTTTGTGTTTTAGGCATATTTGATTTAATTACCAGCTGAACGACAGAATAATAGCTCAGAGTTACACAACTTGCAGTGTACAAACTGTAAATTATACAGAAGCCCCCCCAAAAAAATGTCACATTTCCTTTTGCATGTCCAACTTTTGACTTTATTACAGGTTTTTGCATTCCTTTCAGGGGACTTGCTTTCAGTTTCTCAAAGAAATCAGCAGGCATATTTTTCCACACCTCCAAAGTTCAGTCATAGAAGTTGGTTGCATTTTCTGCTTCTCAGTATCTAGGTTCTGCAACATTACTCGATTATAAATGCAGACTCATCGATTGGCTTATCTTATATCTAATATCAGAAATATCTTCTTTAGTGATTTTATATATACACATGAGAAAGAAATTTGAAGGCAGCTAATGTGCGTTTGTGTGACTGTTAAAGGGAAACAATGTCAGTGACTCCTTGGAAACAACTTTTGTTGAGAGGACAAAGCTGTAAATCACTGGTTTTAAGATTGGAAAGATGGAAGAGTTAATGTGGCAGCAGAGTACACAAATGTAACAACTGAACAAATTAAATATTATAGATTTGATATTATACTGAATCTCTGGTAAATATATGCTTCTTGCTTTTTTCTGCCAATGAAAAATGAATAGCCTGCACTTCATGGCCATTTTGACTGGAAATAAACAAATGGGTTGTTTCTGACTTTTGCACAGCACTATAGCTCTATATAGATGCTGCCAATTTGCTTAACATGAGATGAAATATCAGCAGGTTTAAGTAAATGCACACTAAAATGAGTTTGGATAGATTTGAATAACAGTGTCCATCCCTAATATGACTAGAAGTATAAGAAGAAGAAAAAAATAGATGTCTAATGTTGAATTCCAGAAGAATTGTGTGATGAAATGATCTTTATACATACTATAAATGAAAACTGCTGTTGCTGTGCAGTCTTTTATTGTAAACTGCTGCATAAACATGCGAGTACTAATACAGTAGCCACAGTTGTGCATCAAAAATAAAGCTTTTTCAAACATGATCTTGTTTGAGCTATTTCCATTTCTGACTTCAAGATCAGTATCCCTGAGGCAGAATTTATGATGTATTCATTTTTTCCCTCTTTTCACAGGGTTGGGTTAGTTCAGCAGCTCACTTACTGTGAGTACAAAACAGAAGCCATTATACCTACAGAGAATGGGGAGGGGGGTGCTCCTCTTGGGAAGGCCTCGGGTACAAACTGGGCCAGATTTTAGGGCTAATCAGGAGCTGGCGTAGACTCGCTCTCTCTGGAGTGCACGTGGAGGCCCCAGTAACTCTGGCAGCTGCCTTTGTGTCCAGATGGTGAGGAAGGCAGAGCGTCGGGCAGAAAAGGGCTGCTGAACGACAGCACGTTAGCTCCTCCGCCTGTCAACCCAAAGCAAATAGCTGCAGGCTGCCCAGATCTGCTCCGTTCTGCTCTACCTGCAGCTCACAGGGAGGCAGTCCTGATTTATGCTGAGCACTAGGCTAGACATCCATCTATTCACCTTTCAAATGCAGACTCCACCGCAGGAGGAGACTCTTCGGTGGCGCCGGGCAGAAGTGACAAATGTGGACCGACCCTGAGACAGAGCGCCTCTCCTCCAGACGCCCCACATGGAATCGGCCCCTTCTAACTCTCAGACGGCTGCTGCAGCCATCAATCCATATCCCCCCTTGTCATATGGCCTTGGCACCAGAGACGTGATGCACTCTGACTGCTCTCCTGCTTTCTGCACAGCGTGTTCCATTTCAGGAACCCAATTGCCAACGGGTTTTTAAAAGGAAGTATTATTTTTATTTATTTATTTTTTTTTCCGCATCTAGCTACCCCTTTTTGCCAAACTGTCACATGTCGTTTGATATTAAGCGAAGCATATGCACACTGACATGGATCTTATTGAAAATATTCTCCATTCAGTTTTTGTCAAGTATGGTTGTGCATTTCTTCCTATCAATTATCTGGTCCTTAATAAAAGGGATGCCACCTGACAAAAGTGATTTGTGGGTGTGAAAAAACGGACATTTACAGTTTTTGGGATAACTTTGGTTGAAGGCAATAAATAAAATGTTAGAAAGGGCAGAAAAGAAAGAAAGGCTGTAAACAGCTGTTACAGGTATTCAGTTTATGCCAAATGGTCCTCTCTGTAGAAACACAAATGCTACATGACACCTGTGTAAGCTCTTTGTTGTTACATACAAAGATTCTGTGCAGGTACAAACAATCTAAATATACCCTCAAAAGGTACAACAGTGCTTTTAAGGTCCAATTGTGTACCTTAAATAAGTTTTTCCCAGGAGAGAAGTATGTATTTGTACCTTTTTATAACCTAATTTTTAAAACAGGACATTACAGTAAAAAACCCTGGAGACGAGACGGTATTTGTGGAGTCAATACAACTTAGAAAATATAATTTCAAAGGATTATGGTACCTCAGTAAAGGTACTGAGATGTACCCGTGAGAGTACCACCCCAGTAAAAAGACAGGTACTGCCCCAATGACAGTTTTATACCTTTATCTCTAAGAGTGTTCATGACAACTGACATAAACCTTCGTAAACATTTATTAACACTTATTCCAAAAGGTGTCATTTGTCATAAGGGTTGCATTTATGTCAGCTAACTCAAAGCACTTCATGAATCTGGCTTGCGACTCACTCACTCACTCACTTACTCAATCATGTTTAACAAGACTGTCCATTAGGTGAAGCTACTGGTATTAACTACAGTGAAAACACCCTTGCAAACAATGCATGTGTTTAGTGTTGTGAATACACGAGAAGTGCATGCTTTGTAGGATTTTTGAGGTACTACATGCTGGTGCATCACATCAACCACTTTGTGTCCTTGTTCTGACATTAGCTAGTCATGACACTTTGTGGGGTAAAATGACATAGACTTTGTAGCTAAGTGTACGTCACAGTCACATAATGCTGATCATATGAAACAGCTTGCAGAGTCAGGCAGGTTGAACAATAGTAAGCATTTCTGTGGACTTTAGGTACAGTTTTATTATAGCATTTATATTTTATTATAGAATTAAGCTGTCACATCATCAGTACTATGTCTCCATGATATACACTAAGCTACAAAGTCAGTTATTATAACATGCTACATAAAACATTTTGAATGATCATTTCACCCAAAAAAAGTAACATGACAACCCAGTGTCAGATAATCAGGTGTTATGTCAACATCTGATTTTACAACAGATGATGCTTATTAGAATAAACCTTAATAAATGTTGATGTAGGTTTATGTCGGTTGTCATTTGGCTCATGAACACTGCCCGACAGTAAAGAGGTACCAAATATATTGTAGTGTCCTGCTACTGACTCGTGCTGCTGTAGAGGCTCTGGAGGTGTGGCAATGCACAGGGCAATGTGAAGTGGCTCATGGGATTCATGTGAAAAAGGAACTTAAATGTTGTTTGCCACTGTTTGTTAGTTTAAGTTATGTGTACATACTTGTGTAAACAACTTGTGTTATTGTTAGTTGGGAAGTGAACTTGAGTGTCTACCATGAAGCAGAGAAGCTGGTGATGATCGCCCTCCTATTTGTGTTGTGTGGTTATATAGCTTTCTGCTTGGTGTTTAATAAAAGAGCTCTACTTGCAGCAGAATCATGGCTTCCCATGTGACTCACTCTATATCAACACCACAATATCATGGAAAACTGAATTTCTTAATTTTTTTTTCAAAGAAAGGAGCTGAAGTGATATATAAACAACTAATTCAACAAGTACCAGTCCCTTTCTAGTCCATACTGTCCATATATGAAAACAAAGCTACAGAAAACAGCTCATTTTGAATTCACTGTTTCTGTGATGTCATGAGACCCACTTCTTTACCTATATCCACCTATTTAGCCTACAGCAGTTTACCTCCGCCCAATTAGAAGAGGGATAATTTATCTTTATCGTAAAGGCAACGTAACAATGTAATCAGTTGTAAAGGCAAGGTAAACAATTGGTTTAATTCTATGGGATTAAGAGAGGTTGGAAAATGGTCATGATTTTTACCATCAGAAGTGCTTAGAGAAGTACTTCAGTGTCTGTACTGGGGCCAGTAACACTAGTGGAATCAGTGCATCTCCATTTAAAATGCATTTATTTATCATTAGAAAATGTCCACAAATTGGGTGCAAAAACTAAATGAGCATCATTAACCAGAGGAGGTTAAATGATCACATTTTTTTCTAAATCATCATTTTAAATGCTCTAGTTGGCCTGGCTCTCTTGCTAAATTTGTCAAACTTTAAAAGAGTCATCATGTTTAGTGTTATTTCTATTTGCACTCAAATAAGAAATGAGGATCAGTGGAGTTCAACGATTTGGAGCTTTTCTTGAATTATACACAACACAGGAAGCAGCAAGCATTACTCGTTTTAATTGTAAGCTGTACGGAAACAGCATGCCAATTCTGATCAAAATGATGGCTCTGGGTCTGCGGTCATCAGAACCTCTTGGAGATCTGCCTTCTGCCAGTTATAACTTGGACCATCATTAGAACTAAACTATTCAGCAGGGTAGATCTCTGAATGACCATTGTTCTACATCATTAACATGAGCTCCACTTTAAAGCAGTTTCAGAGATGGAGGTCTTACCGGTGACTAAGAAGGTGCAGCGTCCGGCTCCGGCCTCGTTGATGATGTCGCAGGTGTATTCCCCATAGCCTTCGCGTGTCAAGGTGCGTACCGTATACTCTGTCTCATCACGAGTGTCGAAGTGTCCAGCATGGAGCAGGCGTGAGCCCAGCCGCCACTCATAGCGCAGCACCCGTGAGGGGTGCGCACGGAGAACGCGGCAGCTCATGGCCACTGGCCGGTTCAGACCCTGCCTCACCTCTGACCACACAGGCTCCACTGCTGGAGGGTCTGCACACAGAGAGAGCACTGAGGTCAATCTCTGACAGTACATACACTGACAGTGTTTTTTTTTTCCTCTTTAAAAACAATGTCATGCATGAAGTACAAATACAGTAATGAGGCACTATGACTATGAGCTACTGAGTCAAACAAAAAACTGCAAGTATACACAGAACAATGACAATTCAAAGAAATTTTGATAACTGTCTGATCACAATAACTACCTAATCACAATTATTTAAGCTGTCCATAATTATTTTTATAGCTATCATCTTTCATAATCATATGTTCACATCACAACGGACAGAATATGAATCGGGTGCATTTTTATCTGTTATGCTGAGGTAAATGAACATATGGAAAAGAAACATGCTATGGGTCTTATGAAAACAGCAAAAGTTCTAACTTCTGACTGGCTCTATAACACTATTAGTTTTGGAAAAAAGCACAAGTAGTTTTGGAATACTTATCACTGCTACTATAATTCACAGTAATACTAATGGTTATAAACTACAGTCATTTAGTTCTGCATACACTTGCGCTACAAAGGAGTGTTTGTACTGCTGCTATAATTAACCTTAACAGCACTTGACAGAGCCACTGCTAGACATCCTTTTCTGGGTTAACATTAGTATCTGCTACAAGCTGTTGTGTAACATTAACATCTATTTTATTGTCTGTGATTGTGAAATAACATTAAGTAAGAGAGAGAAAAGAGCACAGTTTGGATGTTTGCTAGCTTACCACTCAGGCAATAGTTAAATGTCTGCTACTTTGCCCTGCTTAAGCTCATTTGTCTGGTATAAAACCAAGTAAATCGCTATCTGATTCAACATAAGTAAGCACCTCTTAGTGAGCAAAGTTAAATTTTGGAGATTCATGAGTTGTTTAGACTGTCATTAAGGTATTTATAATCACCTTTAGCAATGATGGGCTAATGTCTGAGAAAAGACACTCAACATAATAAATATTTTTTTTGTTATTTTACATTTAAGATCGATTTCAAACTTTATTAAACATTTTTCCACAGTATTTAATCATTTCTTTATCTCCATTTAGTGATGTAAGAAGAGTTTTCCAATGACGCAAGATAGCTAATCAGCCAGTTTAGTCACTTTAGGTTTGTACTTTAATAGTTTCATGCAATGAGCAAAAAAAGACGACAATTATTTACAGTTATTTATATGGTAATTAATCATCAAGTAATATGGCTCTTTAAAGATCTTTTAAATTTGTTCTATATAGAAAAAGGATATGCTATTTTTACAAGCCATAGAACCGTATATGGTACTAGTTGCTTCACAAAATTTCTTCAAATAGAACAAGCACCTGAAGGCTGAACCAAATAAATAAAATTCATTAATACAGTAAGATTCATTCAAGAGCTATTGTGCTGCTAAAACTGCACAGAACTCTGTGACTCAATGGCTAAAAAAGGCAATAACAAAGGAATAAATATGTGTTGTTAAACCTGATTGGAGGGATAGAGTCATTTTGCCTCTGTTGTGCTTATTTTTTTATTTTTTTCTTGATTGCTTAGCAGCACCAGTCTAAGTAAAGCAAGATGGGTTCAACCAACTCTGGCTAATTAACTCGCCTTTCATTTGCCAATCTGATAGGCTTTGACAGAAGTCACAGTGAGGGATTAATGCAGCAGCAACAGTGTGGGAAACCGATATAAACAAACATGTCTTAAATCGGCTGAAATTAATTGCTCTAAATCAACATAATGCCAGAGAGAGCAAGAGTCACTTAAGTGCTGCTGGAGGACAGCAAAAAGCAGATGAACGCTGAGCCAAATTAATCCGAGAGGGCATTTTCTCCTGCACTCTCCAGTTCGATTCTGTACACTAAGAATATGCTTTAGGGATTCCTTATGTGAACAGCTACACAGAAAAAGCACAGTGTGTTTTACTGCTTGATGAAAGCATTACTGTCGTCTCATGAAAGGCTGTAAAAGCATGCAAAAAAACATGAAAAGAAGTTTTAAATGTGGGTTAAGTTAATTGGTGAGCTGCAAGATGGAGAGCTTTTCTTTTCATCTTGATGCTACAGAACAGTGGAGAGCGCCTATTGAGAAAAATGCACAACGGCTGAGCAGAAACGGACAGCTCATCCTGCGGAATAAGAGCAGCTTGCAAAGTTCCACTCATTACATTAAAATTGTAGGTTGATTACGTTGGAAAATAATGGCTTGGTTTGTAGGCTTCTTGAGTGGCACAGACAAAATTGAAGTAAATGGAGTTCCATTGCGCAAAGAGACAAATATCTCACCGAAGCCACGGAACTGTAGTTACATAATGGGAGTAGCTTATAACGAGAAAATACGCTGGAGCACAACAGCGAAGCCATCCGCTTTGCATCAGCAGCTTCACGCTAGCAACGCAGGAAACCCCAGAGATATCTGCACTGGAAGCCAGTTTGTTGAACAATGTTCCTGAGATGCTTCGAGGCAGAAATGGTGTTGTGTCGCCAGTTTGGGGAAAACACAGCTCAGATGTAATTTGTTATTAGTCACATGGGTCATTATAGGCGGCAGTACTGGGCTCATATAGAGAAGACCAAAGAGCTATAAAGTGCATCATTAGAACTTTTCCAAAATCCTTCTGGGTCCAACTTACAGTACACTTCCAATAAAGTGATTTAATACAGAACTGAACTCCTGAAAGAAGGACCGTGATCATAAAATCAGAGACAGGCAAAATGCAGGAGTACATGTGACTGATATACAGTGGCCCCAAAGGTATCTGGACACTTTGACCATAGGTAAATGTTAATTAGGTTTAACAAGATGATTTATTTATTATTGATTTATTTAAGAGAAAAACACTTTTAGCACAACATCAAAGTGATAAGACTAGCCCTTCAGTCAGTTACTGTAATTGACTGAAGGGCTAGCTGTAATAGTCAAATCTGATATGTCAATGTAAACACAATTCATTCAATACCAGATGAATCTAAATACATAAAAATATATGCATCTAAATTAATACAATAAGTGAAAAGAGGTTGTGTCAAACATGGCAAATTTATTTTTAAGCACACAACATCTACAGAACTTTTTAATTAATCGAAACAGTTAATAAATTAACTGTTTTAATCTGACATGCACAGATATGACCTTCCGTCATTATATTTATAGGGAAGCTTAGTTCACTGTTGCAACTAACACCACCGTGTGCCGGCCACTCTTCAGCCAGGCTAGCTCTCACTGTAAGTTGTTTACATGCTTCAAAATGGTGCTAAATTACAGCCACCAAGAGGGAGATTACAATAATATATATTTGAATTCTGTGACTTATGTACAAAATTCAGTAATCAAAAATGCTTATGATAAAAAGTCATTTTTCTGGTACATAAACAGTCTTCAGAAGGAATCTTGAGAAATATCAGTGACTGCTGTTAAAATTCACAGATGATGTTGCTATGGGAATACAAGAAGGTGACCAAAAAAACATAAAAAGTTTATGCTATATGTTACCTCACCGGAGTTTGTGCCCCATTTCCCTCCACTGTAAAACACAGAGGTGGAGCTGTCAAAGTCTGTCTTGGTGAGCTTGTGTTCATTGATGAGATCATAACCTCAGATGTGTACAAAGACACTACGGATGCAAACCTGTAGAAGTCTGCAAAAGAACAGCAGATCAGTCGCCTTTTGAAGGAAAACTTTGCCAAAAAGGAAATTACAGCCTTTCAATGGTTTGTTTAAAAAAATATCACTTGGTCTGGCATTTTGTTTCCTAACACACACACAATGAACTTGAAATTTCTAAGTTTGACACAAATGTCCAAATACTTTTAGGCCACTGTAAAAAAAAGGCTATACTTAATTTAATTTATCACTTCATAATACAAAAAAAGCTTATGTATATAGTAATTAAGACTGTGGAAACTGCACATAGCCTAGAATCCTTTGTATAAAACATGTTTATCACAGAAAAACAGAAGGACCATGTTCGTCCTTGTCGTCTTACTGCAATATTAGTCAAGACAGCAAGCATATTTCAGAGGTCTGAAATGATTCAAATGATTGCTGTTGATAAAGCTGGTGGTTCACTGGGGCCAAACATGAGCACCAACAATTTGCTCATAGGTTACAGGGCATATGCAAATGGACTGCTGCTGCCAAGCAGCAGAAGGTGAGGTGGCTGTCCTTGATAAAGAGTGCAGGCTTGTGCACTGAAACTACACCTCATAGCCCATAGTTCACGCCACTAATTTCAATCCAAGTGTGGTACCATTGTGAGTGCAACATACCTAATTCCAAGATTCCAAGTGCAAGATATTTCTCCTCAAGCAGAAGAACAGTTATGAAGCACTTCTACATTTCAAAAACCCCCAATAAAAGAGAAGAAACTACAATCTCTAAACTTTGACAGGCATGGAAAGATCTATTCCTTCACTCTTGGTCAATTTATAACCTTAAGTACAGTATAAACTGCTGTTCTGCTCCACTAATGGCCCCAATTCAACTGACCATGCTATAAATTATCCTGTCAGGGCCTACCTAATGACTTTGTTTACGGGGGACACATACGCTGACCTTTTCCAGTCGTTCAACATGGTTGACCAATTCAATATTGTTCAATGAAAATGGGGCTATTAAAATTTCAGACCAAATTTACAGCTCTGAAGCTAATACAGGGAGATTATTTCATACACGTCTGCAACCATAATGCAATTCTCATGAAATAAGCCCCAAGGCCATTCCGGTCTTATAGATGCAGAGGAAGAAAATTAATTAAAAACAATAATCTTTTAATTCCTTTCATTATTTGGTAACGACACGTTATTGTGTCTTTTGATGTGAGTCATTTAGGCTTGTTCACGCCTCAGGTGCATGTCAGAAAAGCCCACGGGCAATGGCTCTAAGATCAAAAAAAGATAGAGTTCTACTGCTGGTCCACTAGAGGAAAAAATGTCCATGAGACTGTTGAATAACTCATGAGTTCCAAGTGCCTCTGCTTCTGATCCAAGTGCCTCTGTTAACCTCACTTACAAACTATTAT